AGGGGGTCGTTGCCAGGGGCGTCTCCTTATATACAACTCATGAGACGCGAGGTTCCCGAACAGGGCGGTGCTTGATCGGCGGTGCACCGGTGACAATGCATTCAATGTGAGTGGGTTGCCATGCGCCGTGGCTCTTGGGGCAAGAGAGGGCGAAGGCTTCGGATGGATCAAAGGCGTTTCAAGATCAATGCTGAAACCAAAGACCTCTGCAGAAACCGCAGGTCTCCTCCACTCCATCTCTGGTGCTCAGAAAGAAGAGCGGAACAGCAGAATCAACCCCAGCCGCGGAGGAGGATTGGACCCGTCACCCTCCAAAACCGGTGGCGGCCCCAAATCGGCTGGAGAACGACATCCAGCCTTCAAAGGCGCGTCGCGCAACTGGCGCGGTCGCGCGGTCGGAGCGAAAGAAGACCGGTCGGTGTGGCGCACTCGTGCGGTTCCGTCGGGTGCAAAGTCGAGCGGACGAGGGAATGGGAAGATCCAGATCGAACACCACTGGTTGCGAAAGGGAAAAACTCTTGGACGCTACTAGGAGCACAGAGCAACGCTACTAGGAGCAAGGACGCTACTAGGGGCTCCTGGCCTTACTACTAGGAACAAGAAGCTACTAGGAGCAAAGGGCTTCGCTACTAGGAGCGATCGGACGCTACTAGGGGCTCCTGGCCTTACTACTAGGAACAAGGACGCTACTAGGAGCTTTTTCGCGAACCAGACTTGAGCTCTCTGCCAGTGCGGTTTTGGGGCTGTAACTCTCAACTGGGAGAGCCATCCAAAGGCTGTGACTGAGACTCTAGCAGCCAAGAAAGATCTTGAAAGAAAGTGCTGTTCTCCAGCCAGCCATGGTTTTTGGAGGTGTTTTCCGGGTCATCTCAGTCATCTCGTCGACATCAAAGCTGTGAGCCCTCCTCTAAGCTGTGTCCTTTGTGGCGGTTCTCTCTGGGAAGCTCTTGGCTCAACCACCCCATCATGTAGACTCATGAGTCATTTGATACTAACCCCCTCACTTGAAGTGGGACAATCCTCTTCAGGCCTGGCAGGTGAGACATGAACCACCCCACCCCACATAACTCCAGTAGCCAAGGCCTGAAGCACTTGGTGTTCAAAGATGTTCCCTGGCAGCGCAACGGGGCGCCACCGCGCTGCTACACCACCGGCCACCGCCAGGCCGGGCCCAGGCATTAAAGTCGTGAAAACCCTGTCACTTTGGAGGGTCATTTAAGAATCCACCATTCCCAGGGGCTTTGCGTGGATGATGGTTCAGTTGCGAGCCTTTCTCTAAAATAGTGATTGGCTTGTGGAACACCGACTGTTACAGGTACAGTCATAGCGCACCCCACAAAAAGCGCCATCGCGCGCCGCTGGGAGACCGAACCTGCCAACGCTGGCACACACCCTACTCCTTGCTGAGTAGTTCACCCAGAACAAAATAGAGGTGACTTTCTCAGTGAGTCCTTGTACTCAAATGGTGGATGATTTTGTTTCCTGTACTGCATTCCTGGTAGGCTCTACTCACCAAACACGCAGCGGCTATGTCATGTGGGCGTGTCCCACCATAATAAGAAAAGGACTTGCAAAGTGGGCGAGTCATAGGAGGCTCCCTGGAGCTGTGGAGATTGTGGAGGCTCCCTGGAGGCCACAAGTCTCTCAGGTTTCACCGGTCTTTCGATTCGACCGGTCTGAGAGGTGCTGTGGCGACCGTCGACCGGGGCTCTCAGGCTCGACTGACGCGCACAAGCGTGGAACATGTGAAAGAAAGGATGAAAGCATTATAAATTATACCTAGACCTTCAAGGGGTGTCCTGTCTGGAGCTCCCTTAGTGGTGTAGGGGCTTCCAGCCAGGTGACCCCTTTGAAGGTGCTGGTAGATGTTTACATTCTTTGTTGTTCTTTCCCGACTCCATACACAAATGATCCTTTTAAATAAAAGCAGTCTCTCCGAGTCTCCAAGTGTGGTAGATTGATACAGGAACGGGATCGCGACATTCCCTGACCCCACCCAGAGACATGTTCGTCCCAGCGACATTGCCCAGGCATCTCCATGTAGACGGCACTGGTCAGCAGCGGATATTCCTCGTGGGATCAGGCAGGAGCAGATCCAACTGGGACAGCAACCTTCCACGAAGCAACTGACCTTGAGAGCAGTGTTTTGGCATTCAAGTTCAACGAAAGGCACATCCACCGGGACGCACCGCACAGGGGGATTTCGTCACCAGCCCGAACCTCAAAGACGTTGTTTCTGGCGGACGTGTTACCCGCAAGTGTGATCTTCTCCGCAAGGTGTGCAAGACAAAAACTCCCTAGCAATTCCAAAGTCCAGTAGACTCAATAGACCCAATAGACTGCGATGCCTTTTTTGCACTCCTGCGGATGTTGCTTCCCCATGTGTATGACTCTAAAAAGTGGGGCACCTACGAGAAACTCACTGGAAATTTGGAACATGTCCATCATTGGGCCGGTATGCGAACAAAACAAACCGAGGCACCATAGGACTCCCAACAGATTCTATGCAAGCCGCACTCGTTCGTGTTCAGAGAGCGCCCAAAAGTCATCAGGTTCCAAACAGCGCTTTCCTTGCCTGGAACCCCAAACAACCAGAAACAAATGGTTGTTCCAATATGGCAATTGAAATCATTTACGTGGTTGTTTAGGGAAACATCCATTTCTTTCTGGTTGTTTGGTTTCTCAGGTCGATACCATAGATTGAGATATGGTGTCAAACTGGTACTTCGAGTGCCTCTCCAACACAGTAAGTCAGTAAGTCCCATTGTAATTAGATTTGATGCTGCTCAGCATGAAGGTTCAAAAAATACTGAGGGGCCACAGTCCTGCAGAAATTCCGTCATGATGTAGTCCAAGCTCCTTGGCAGGTGGGGTGGTTTCAATCCTCTCGCTCCCATCCCACCATCTGCACAACACCAGGTCTCGATGGCTCTAGGCGCGCCAAGCGCATCCCTGGCAGGTCTCGATGGCTTGGCAAAGCCTTTAAGGATCGAATCTTCTGGGAGAATTGGGTGGTTTTCTTTTGAATTCCTTTTTGGAACATGTGACGTGTGTATGTATTGACTAAGTCATTGATGCTAGCGGCACAGAAAACTCTCAAACACCTCCTTGCCGAAATATACAACCCCTTCCTTTTCCATCTCCTGGAAATCTTCGGAGCAGGGGGTCAGGGGAAAACGACGCCACCCGCTGGAACACGAAGCAGGAGAAACTTCACCTGTTTGATCACTGTGGAAGAAAATGATCACAGAAACCTTCAACACCGTCCTTGGTCAAGAAAGAAAAAGGGACCTCGCACTCAGAATTTCACTCCAACTCGGCGATCTTTTCAAGAAAAGAACCCACCTCAACCCACCTCAAACCCACCTCTCACCTCCCATCGAAGGAGGGAGCGACCCACCTGGGACCCCCGTGCCAGCCACGGCCTCCGGACGCCCGGTGGGTGGGAGTGGAAGCCTCAGGTGCCACCGGGAGAGCACCGGGAGAGTTTGGTGTCGACCTGGTGGTGGTGGGGTCGTCCTGTGGCCGGCAGAGCAACGCAAAAGATGCTACATGAACATATATATATATAATACATGCATGTGTGTATATATATATATATTTTTTTAATATGTATGTGTGTGTATGTTTATATATATATAACCAAAAAACGACCCACACGGTAACACATGTAGTTCATTCAACAAACCTCAACGAATGACCGATGGGACCTGGGACTCGCCAAGAAGACCTGGCACTTGTTCACGACGTTGGGAGCGAGGCACGGGTTCTGTGTCAGGAGGCTTACCTCGTATGAGAGGCGAAAGCACACATTGGCTCTTGAGTGTCTGATGACTCTCTCAAGTCCGTGGTGAATGTTCCTGGCGATACAGTTTCAAAGAGGCATGGCCTGAGCTCCCTCATGGTTTTTCGGTGCTGAGTATCACCCAAGAGAAGCAGGCGGCAACCACACTGTGCATTCTCTCTTCAAGACACCAAGGTTCTCTACCCCGCCCCAAAAAAAACCGCTTTCAACACCTCTTTCTTTTGCCCGCTGGAGCGACTCCGCGAGGGCCCTCCGGGCCCTCCGGTTCGGACGGACTGAGTGGCCCCAGCCGGAGTAGACCTGAGTGCGCGAGTGCGCTCCAAAAGTCCACCGTCCGTTGCATGGAAGAGCGGTCGTTGCATCGAAGGGAAGCGAGCTTCAAGTGGTTCAGACTTAGGAAGCGGAGAAGGGTTGTGTTCCTAGCCAAGTGGAATCTCCGAACGGATGATTTTGGGCATGCAAAGGAGCGGACCATGTCTGATCAAGGAGTGGACCTTGCAAACAAAACAAAGAAAGAGACAAAAAGAGGAACAATCCACCCTTGACAAAGGTACAGTACAGTGGTTTCAGAGTACATGGCACAATCCCCAAAAGGTGGTTTATCTGGACCCCCATACAAAAGACATCTTTGCGTTTGTGCCATCTATTCTGCAAGCACTGGTCTACTAAACATGGTCTACCAGGACCCACGGTCGGGGTGGCGAGTGGACACCCCGAATCACCTCCCAGGGGCCATTCATAGACACCCGGACCCTGGTAATTCTGCCCATCACAACCCTTCCCCGTCTCTGCGAACATGGAGTCGTTGGGAACCAGAGCGAAAAGCTCGCGCTCCGTGTCGCAGAGCTTGGCGTCAGGTTGAATTTACCAAGTCACTGAAATGGTACGAACATGAGTGTTGCAAATATATTAAAAAAAAACATTAAAAAACAAGTTCCAATTTTCCATGTCAGAAGGGGACAGTTGTAAGAACCTCTCTTTGAGGTATCTGTGACCTGTGGGTCTGTGGTTGACAGGTGGATTTGCAGCATCAATTGACTCGTTCAGTCGACTCGAAGCATCTGAAGTCTCTGAACGCTGACCATGGAGAGATTTGGAGGGAAAGACGGACAAACCCTGGACATCCCGGAAATGAAGGACTGGCAACCCCCCATCTTCGAAGCCGCGCTCTGCTGCTCTGCTGCAGCTTTTTCTTTCACTCCTCCACAGGATAAGGATCCTTAGGGGGTCGATGTGGAGCTCGAGCTGCGCCTTCCACGTAAATCTTTGCACAGTGGGAGTTGTGACGCTTCTTGGCGCTTTTTGATTGGCTGACGAAACGCCAGTGGCACTTCTTACAGCAGTAGTTGCCATCCGTCAAGTCACGGCTCACCAGAAAGTGACAACTCGGATTTGCACATAGAAATTGGCTCTTGAACAAGGGATTCTCCTGAATGCCTTCAAGATCTGGCTCTAGCCCTCTATCCACGCTTACAGCATTCTCTTCTTTGGTCTCCTCCAAGGGGTAAGGATCGCTGGGCGGCGTAGGCTCCGCTTGTGGTGTCTCCTTAGGGGCGGGGCTCCGACCACAGACCCTGTCATGGTTTTTGCCTGATTTGGATCCACTCACGTGGCGCCAATGGCACTTCTTACAACAATATCCACCATCCTCCTTTTCGGTCGATTGAAAGAACCAACACGACGGGTTGGCACATCTTTTTTGTGAAGGCGTCGACCCTAGGAGGGCCGAGGCGGAGTCTCTGCCTCTGGATCGACTTCGGGATCGGACGCTCTCCACAAGTCTTTGGTCCACAATTCCAAAGCCACAAAGATCATCAATGGCATGCTGGAGGACTTCAGCAATTGGCAGTTCGCCCTCAAGCATTCGAAACCGCGGATGTTGGAAGAGCCCCAGTCGTTTGGTGCGCTCCACGTACTGCAGATGGAACTGCCACATCTCTGCGAAGATCTCCTCGGTCACCTTCCGATTCGCCCGCATGCGACGCTCGCGACTGGTCACCTCCTTGACGTCGATCCACAGGAGGAGATCCAGCTTCTCCACAATTCGTGGCTCGTGGAAGGCTTTGAAGCCTTCGAACAGGATCAAGTCGACGGGCCCATCGATCTCGCCCTCCAAAGCTTCAAGCACTTTCTGATGATCAATGGCTTGAGGATCATCCCATTTGGTGTCCGCCGAGCCAGGCTTGAAGAAGGAGTCCTGGCCGATCACACTGACGCAATATCCAGCACCTGGCCCTGCTCTCATGCGGATGAAACGTTCCGCTCGGTCGCTCCGGGACATCCGGGGCATGTGCTTCTCGCTACCTTGGATTAGCGGCTCCCAGGAACCTGGAAAAAGTATAAAAGATTCCCCAGGAGGGGTTTTGTATAAATTAACCATAGGGAAAATAGAAAATCACCTGAAGCAAAACGAGGCTACCAATGTCGCAAAGCTTTCTTGCGATGCCATAAGAAAGGGTGGTCTTACCAGCGCGAGTGGGTCCTGAAATCCCAACCACCTTTGGCACTGGCATCCCATGGCAGAAGCCCCGACAAAGGTTGAAAGCGCAAGGCCCCAGCGGCTGAGATGCTGAGGTTTGAGACGAAGGCGTACCCTGAGAAAGCCAATGGGCCGTCCACGATTGATCTTGAGCCAGTATTGAAGAATTGTCAATGTCATATATAGGTAACAACATCATATACATGTAATATTGGAAAGAGCTTTGTATCATCAGTGGCATTTCGCTACAAAGTGCCAGCACCCAATCTGGATGACAAGCAGATTCATGCGCCTCACGTCACCAAGCTGACTGGGGACCAAAACCGGGGCCACAGGGAACTGGTCAATAGGATTCAAAAGGTGCTTAAACGGCCTTTTTTCGTTGGGTAGAACTCCTCAAGGTTGCTCGTGCATCGGATGATACGGGCGTATTGGCAGTGCCGAATCCCTTGAACAGCAGCGCAGTCTCTTTCTGCGGCTATGTCATTCTTGTGCACGGCGCCAGTCTTTTTTGACCGCGAATGAAACAACCTATTCTGGATGGCATGGTATGCGCTTCTTGATGAAGTACTGCGCTTTGGCAGAAATCCAGTTTGCTGCTGGCCGTCCGTTCTTGTGTGCACTACACCCAAACGTGCATGCCAGTTGTCATTGTTTCTTGCGCATGTTGAGTGATTCAACGACTTGTGGCGGAACAGCGTGTCATCCACTCACAACAGCGTGTCAGCTAGAGGATGTTGGGCGGACAGCTCGCGGATACGCCGAAGAGTCTCAATCGGACGGCTCGCAGCATTGCACGTTCAATCGAGCGAAATTCAGCTGTTTCTCGGAGTGGTCCTACGCAAAGCTATTGATGTAAAATCTGTGTGGTGATATCAGTGTGCATGCGTTCACCATGAGCAATTGGAGTTGGTGAGGCTCTTGGTATGATACCACCTGCGGAGGCCACCCCAAAAAAGAAGCCCTCCTTCGCATGAAAAAACACACGAGTGCGCCGCGAGTAGTTACCTCAAGTACTTACCTCGAGGAGCGGCTGAAAAAGCCAATTGCATCCAATTGCAGAGTCACCTTTTTGGCCAATCCCGAAAAGGAAAGGGATAAAAAAAGGGGCGGAACTCGACGCAACTGGTCTCTGGCCAAGTCTTGAGGCTAGACCGGAGAGAAAAAGAATCGAGTCGAGCCAGGCGCACACCGCACAGCACCGCAAGCAGCGGGAGGTCAGCTGATACAGTCTTGGGTCGTCGCAACACCTGGCACGGCAAGTACGAGTGCAAGTGATGGACCCCACACACACAAAAAAAAAAAGCTGAGTCCACGATGTCTTCGTCAAGACATGTGTGGGGTATGTGGAAAGGGTGTTGGGTAATTACGTGCTATAACCGTAGCGACCCCAGATAGATCATTGTCACCATGCCCAATGCATCTGTGGAGAATTCACTGAAATCGCTCTATTTGGTTGGCCACTGGAAGTACCAGGGGCTCAAATAGCCAAAGACTCAACCATTGGCCCCCTACCTGTGGCACCCCATCTTCCCCAAAAGCAGCCTCATCTGCAGCTGTTCGGATGTTCTACCTCTATGCTGTTCGGCGCTGCTCGGGGTGGTGGAGCATTCACATATCCACACCCGGGTCCGGTGCTCTCGAACGCCGCGCCTGTGGCCGGCGTATCAACAATACCTGCAAACCTGGGCGTGTTCGGCACGGCGCAGGCACCGGTCGCAGAAAAACATCGAGTTGAAAGCATCCTCCTTCACCAACTTCAAACTCACCTCCGGTTTCATCGAATGTCCCCAATCTGTCCCCAAAAAAGATCCCACGCCCGTGGCGAGGTTTTCCGCGCAGCCGAAGACCGCCGCCACTGATGGGACCAAACTTCCAGGCCTCCCCTTCTCCTCACCTCAACAGCCCACCCAAGGCACAAGTCCGCGATGTACGCTGCGCAGCTGGCCTTCCTTGGGGGAAAACCACCACCCGTGCGACCCGACGGAAAGCACGGACGGTCCGTTTGGTTTTCTTTGGGAAGACCCACAGGCCTGCCCATGCCAAACGGTCAAGCCAAACGGAGGCGGTCATCAAACAGATCTGTCAGCAATGCTCTTCCCACCGCTGATTCAAGGGACATGCCAACATGTCCTAAGCTGGCGTCTTCTTCGAAGTGTAAATGCCACCGATTCAACAATGATCAAAAATGCCTCGGATGTACCGTGCGTAAACGCTCAAAAGCTCCACCAAATCCACTTCCTCCCTCTCCTTCCAAAGGCTCTGGTTGTCAGAGTGGGCGCAATCCGTGACCCCCACCGCCGCGAAGCGAATCATCCACCCGAAGGAGGCCAGAACGTTCCTCGGACGACGGTTGGTTCTGGGCGGTTCGGCAGATCAGACGGATAGATCGCTGGGCGGTTTGGGAGGCCAACCAAGAGGTGTTTGACAGAACACAAGAGTTTGGTGGGAGGCCTTCTGAACAAGGCAGACCAAGGTGGGATGATCACCCTCACATTGTCAAGAAAATCAACCAACCAAACAGCCCAAACCAAACCAAACCACCCACCCACCAACGCAACGCATCGCAAGGCATCGCAACCCATCGCAAGGCAAGGCAAAGGCAAAGGCAAAGGCGAAGCAACCCAAAGCAAAGCAAACTGCACCCCTCATATCGCACCAGGGTCATGATGCTGACTGCACAGGCAGTGGGCTGAGGGCAGGATTGGATGGCCACTTTGATCTGAATCACCTGCCGATGCCACGCCACGCGGTTGACATGTTTCTCAACCCCGACGAATTCACCGTTGCACCCACTAGGCTGCTAGGTCAGCTATGGCTAGGCTACCAAGATTGGAAGTACTTACCTATGGCCCTACAAAGCTTCCCCAAGTTTCCCTGCCCAGCCGTTCATTGATGGGCACATGCTGCATTACTTGGGTCTTTGGAATCCGACAGTATGCAGTTGCAGTGCGGGTCTTTTCTGCATTCAAATATGTTCAAATGCTTTCGGTCAGATGATGCATCAGTGCTGGTCAAAGCTTCCCCGGTTCGGTTCCACGGTTGACACGCCGTCACACCCGTCACTCACCGTCCCATGGCTGTCTGGTCTGTCTGTTCAATGCCTCTCGCACCAAGTATGAGACAGCATTGGTGACATCCATAGCGCAAAAGGCAGAGGAGATATCTCTGTTGAAGTGAGCCTGGCAATGCAACAGGCATTTGGTGCGCTCTGCAACTTGGGCTTTGGTGCCTTGCAGCTGATCACGGGTTCTATAAAATCTGGGAGGCAAGTCTTGTTTGCTGACCCTGGCTGTTTGCTTTTGAGTCACAGGTGGGTGTGTGTGTGTGTGTGTGTGGGGTGTGCTAAAATCTTGGGGAAAGTGCGGTGTAAGTCATGCAACAAATCAGCTTGTTGAAGCTACGAGTAGCAGAAGCCAGCAACTCACACCCGTACACGGGAACAAGTCCAAGGGTTCTTCTCAAGCCATTGATCTTTCCTGTCTGGTATGAAATGGGAAAGGACCTTGGGCATGGGTCTCCCAAGGCCAAAGGTCTAACCTGCAAAACTCCATGTTGGAATGCCCAGAAGCATTCAAGAAGGCTGGCTCCAAAAGAAACGCCCCCCCGGGTCTTGGTGAAGAAATACCCCATCCGGCCACCCCTCCGGTCAGCGACCGGTCCGCCCGCGCCCGGTGGAGCTCGTGGATCTTCAGCGCGGTGTCCACCGTCGGACCGGCCCCTGCTGGGACGAACTTCCGCCAGTCCGGTTCGTCCTGATCCGCTGAGACCGTAACCCCGAACAAGGCGAGCCAAGGAGATGAATGGATCGGAGAGGTACCGAGTCGGAAGGCGTCAAGCGGAAGGAGATGGAAGGAGCCATGTTCCGCTGCTGGAAAACCATGGAAAACCATTATAACTTAACTCAAAAGAAGAGGTGCTGCAGAACAGGAACTTCAAGTGGAGAGATTTCGACAACAAGTTGTCCAAAGAAAGTGGGCATCATGTACGTTGCTTGGTAGGAGGCCACTCTGAGACTTCAGACTGAGGATTCTCAGGTCGTAGACCCCCAGGTCTATGCGCACGGTCCTCTCGAACATCCATTGGCTTGCTTTGTCGAAGCATGTCGAAGCCATGTTTAAGATGGCACAAACACCCAAAAAGAAGGCGTAAGAAATGGACACAGCTCAGTTGGTTCGTTGCTCTCCCACCTCTTGACTGCCCTCTTTCCACACCTAACCCCCCCCCAAAACCCCGAGAAAAATGCCCGCAGCCCTCCAAAACGAATGTCCACGCTCCTCCTCGGCTTCCTCACCCTTGAGCTTCAACAGCTTCACCCAATCCTTGTTGAAGTCGCACTCCTCCGAGACCTGAGAGGACCCGCAGAGCAGCGGGTCAAGCCTACGCCAAGCACTGGCCAAAGACAGCTGGTTTTGGTTGAAAGACCGCCGGTCCATGCGGTCACTGAAATCGGTTTCGGTGGCCCGAAATCGGTGGGACAGCTGGAAGTTCCGAATTTCTGGCCCGAAGGCGTTTCATTGAAATGCCCATGGGGCAAAGTAGGTATTTTGATGTTGGTTCAGCTGTGGTTTTTTTTGCGGCATCCCTTTTGCAGCCATGGGAGGTCATTGGACCTTTCCCACGGACCCTCCTTGCCGTCACTTGTCCAAGGATCTGCGGCTCCGGCGGTGGCAATCTCCCCCAAGCTCGAAGTGAGAGTCAGCCAGTCATTGGCGCAAGTCGCTTGTTGGTTGCCCATCTTGGAGAGATGGGCAAAATCAAATGCCAAAGGGTGGGATGAGAGGTGGGAGTAAGGGATGAGATGGGGTGAGATGGGGTGAGAGGTGGGAGTCGGCGCTCAAATATCCAAATGTCCGAGACTATTTGGGTGATCCCTGCACAACTATCAACGGCGATGTTACTGTTTTAAAGAGGCACGTGGCATTCGTCCGAAGTGAGCTCTTGGTGCCGCACATGTTCATTCTTCAGGTCACTACTGAGCCTGGACATACGACATTCCAAAGAATGTTCACAACCGCAAAAGAATCCCAACACATCTACAGGAGAACGGAAGATGGTAAGTCCCCACCCTTACACCACTTCCACAGCTCTGAAGCTTTCGTACACACCGCTGGTTGCACCGTTGGTCCTTTGGTCTCCGGACTGCCACACAGGCGTTGGCCGCCATGGAGATGTAGGCGCCCACCCAAGACCTCACGGGACGGTCGCGGGCTGGACCATCCACGGAGGGCGGATCAAGCGCGTGATGGAAGCGCCAACATGGCTGGAAGATGGCCAGAGATGGAATCTTCTCCGAGGTGCAAGGTTTGTCTGCTCCACTTCCATTTTTTGGTGGTGTGGCAGCTCCTTTTTAAACCCCTAAGAGAAAAAACAAAATGAAAGACCAGCAGAATGTTTGCTTCAGAAAGGCCTTTTGGATTACGGTGACGTAACCGACCCCACCGTCTCACCCGACCGACCGCGACCGACGGACCGCGACGCGTGTCGACCGAGGGGCACGGAGGTCAAGAAGCCCGACACGGAGACCTAGGACGGGCGGCCAGGTGCGACGAGGGTTCGACCGGATGTCTGAACTCTGAAAAGCTTCCGAGGCTTCCGAAAGGGTTCCTCCAAACGATCGCCTTTTTACCATTTTTCCCCCCCCCCCCCTTGTACTTCTCCCACCGAGGGGCGGAGCAGCCGGCCGGCGTGTTGTCGGGGCACTTGCTGCCTGACGCCGCCGATGGCGCCGATGACGCGCCGCTGAACCGTCCCAGGAATCGATTCTTTCGGCGTCGCCGAGCTGTGGAAGAGCTTTCGGGGTTTCACAATGGATTCCCCGGAGCTCAGCTCGCCTTCCACGTCGATCGCGCTCCAAAGCTCTAGGATCGCTTGGCCCAAGTAGGCATAGGCCTCCCGGCACAGCGGGGCGGATAGAGGGACGCGAAGACTTCTGGAGGCTCAGGTGAATCGGCAAGGGCTCAGGAGCGTTGCGAGGCATTGGTTTCACAGAATATTCAAACATGTGTCAACTTGGTGTTTGATGGTGTTTGGACATTGATGTTTGAACAAAGATGGAGTTTCACAGCATGTTACTCAGAATGGTCAAACACCAAGTTCCACCAAACTCTTTGATTCACACGTTTCTACTGATTGATCAAGAAAAAGGGATGTAGGACCTGAAGGAGCAACTGGACTGACGGTACACACGAGAGAGGAAGGGGTCAATTTACCGCCCTCCTGTCCATGGAAGAAAATGACTGCAGGACTTTTTACATCAGAAGTAGCAACTTTCAACAGCAAGTCCTTCTCTTTCGTGGTCGCAAGACTTCACACCTTTGGGGACGACTGGCCCAGCAGAGGAGCAGAGGCTGGGTCATGTGTTCACCCTCATGTCTTCAATCCTGCATCCCTCCCATCCCCTCCATCCCTCCATCCCCTTCAATCCCCCTCCCGGACGGGTGAAGCTTCACGTCCCGGACGGGCCTGAAGGGCGTCGATCACACACTCCGTGAGGTTCCAGGCGCTCGGCAGCGGCACCACGACCTCAACGCGGCGTCCGTGGAGCGCGCCGGAGTCAACGGCGTTCCATCCGAAGGAAAGGCACAAAGAAAGAAAGGCACGGAGACGTGGTCCAGATTGATCATTAGTGGCAAATGTGTCCTACTTCGATGGGTTAATCAGCAGCTAGCAATTGTTCGGGGAGAGCCCTGGCGTCGACTATCTGGAGATTCTTCTTCGATCGACATCCTGCTTGAGAACTGCCTTTCGCGCCATGTTTTCATGCCCAAGAACCGGGCTTTCTCTCGGATTCTTCATCCAACGAGCCACCCGGCGCCCCACTCGGCGCACGGGTCCAGACCCCTCCGTCGGATGGGGGCCTTTTGGTGGTCAATGGGAGACACATGGAGGACACATGGATGCAGCGGAAGTCTGATTTCCGGAAACACGTGGCTAGCCATCGCAATCAGGATTGTGGGATGATCCCCTATAGCCCGGAAAAGCATATAAACGCTACAAACAAGTCCAGGACATACAGTGTAAAAATGGTACATGGCCAACCCCTGGATTGGCTTTTCGGGGCAGGTAAAATAAAGCCAAGAGCTGCTGCTTTAAAAAGCGTAGCCAGGGCCGTAACTCACCATTCACCAAAAAATACCAAAAACAGCTCTTTTCCATGGCCATGCCCTTGGTCAAAAACAAAAAAAAAGGCTTCCAAAAAACCCTCCAACACCCGCCCTTCTCCCATCCCCCACCTTCCACACTCCGTCTCGACCACCCGGCGGAGCGGAACTCCCGCGTGCCGAGCGGCGGGCTGCTCGAGCTCTAGGTCCTGCGCGCGGCGCACGAAGTCCTCGATGCCCGGGATCTGCTCCCAGTCGTCCAGCGGTGCGATGCGATGGACCTCCGGTCCGCGGTGCGGTCGGATCAGGGAAATCCGAAGAACGGAGCCCCGAAAAGGGGGATGGAGGGAGGAACAAGCCCCAAAGGTGACCATCATAGAATATCGTCTTCCTTTTGGACCTTTCAAAGGTTTCACCTCTTGAAGGTGCCCCAGGAATGTGCTATTTCTTCCGTGGCGTCTTCCTTATGACCTTTCGCTGGGTGCCCAGGAATTCGCTGGGTGCGACGACATGGGCCAACAGCTTCGCAGGCCTCCACCGCGCTGCCTCCGCGCAGCTCGATCCACGCGAAGCCCCCCACGGCCGCCACGGCGGCGAGTCCGGCGACGGCCGCGGCCACGGCCCGGCGGCTCAGCCGGCGGCTCGGGACCTCCCGGGACCGCGGATCGATCCGAATCTACGGACCATTGGTGACTGTGAACCGAGTGGGTCAGCTGAAACTGCAAAGCATCCTAAAGATTCATAAACCTGTACAGTTCATTACAGTTCTACATGTGGTCTCTGTTACAAATTCTTCACAATAAACCATCTATCTCCAGGTCATCTTTGCATATGTCCTTCTTTGAACCACTGGGGTGATTCGGACCCCTGGGTTCTTCAGAACGTTGCCGAGCACTCCCGTGACGCACGGGTGGCAATGTGCTGGGTCCACTCTCTCAAGTGTCGGACCGGAAGAATCCGACGCTGGCATACCCTGGCATACCCTTGACCATAGGAAAATCACCAGAAGAAACCGTGCACGCAACCATAATTTCATGCATGTAAGACCAGTGTTTCCCTGCCAAAGCGAACCATGTTCTCCGGACAGCCCAGCGGGGGGGGGGGTCCAACCGTCCACCTCCGCTCCAAGGCACCGCTCCGCCCTGCAGCGGCTCGGCATCGTCTGCCAGCTCGGCATCGCCCCGCGGATCCATGGCGAAGGGCCCGAGGGCGGAGCGTGGATGCGCGTGGCAAGCAGTGGCGGGACCGTTACCTTTGGTGGATGGAGCCCTCTGACAGGGTGGTTTTGATGTGATGCGACTGGGATCAGGTGCATGGCAGTGCATTTCGCACATGTCGCGGAGCCCTGTGAAATGTGGCGCTGGCATGCGAATTGCTTTTGGGATCAGGTGCATGGCAGTGCATGATCCAAAGCAACTCTTAAGGTTTTGTGGGGCCGCAGGACGCTGGAGTTGGTTGGGCCTGGCGCCTTTTCGGGACAGAGTCCTGGGTGCTAATAAGAGTCGGAAGGAACGAGGGCCCGCAAGGGGCGGTTATATAATGGACACCCCGAATCACAGCTAAGGGGCTTTTGAAATAGACACCCCGAACGAGTCGGGTCCTGGAATTGTTACATTCATGTCAATTCGATCAGATGGTTTCAGTCTTTGGATGACTCACTTCTTCAGATCAGGTGTCCGGAGCCAGTCCGAAGGTGTCCTGACTCCTCGTGTCTCATGTCTGTCCTCGCTGTGAGCCGGTCGGACAGTCGGAAGCCCGTCGGTCCAGTGCACACGAGGCAAACGGCATGCGGAGAAACGGAGACGCTGCCGGCTACAGCCGGCTGTTGATGGCCAAATATGGTCAATCATGGTCAATCTTGATCAGGTTGATTCTGCGTTGCACGCGTGAAACCCAAGTACTCCTTAGAAGTACTTCCTATCCGCTCGCTCTCGCACTCGCGCCACTGGGAAACTCGCAGGAAGAAGTGACGTCCGAGGTATCTCTCTGGGAAGCCGTACCGGTTGGACCTCGGCCATGCCTGCGGACAGTCGACGAGTTACGAGTATGTTCTGGGATGTTCTGATGGGCTGACAGCAACACGAGGGCCTCTGCACTAACTTGGTCATAGCTGCATCTTCTACAAGTGTCCGACGGCAGAGGAGGTTCGTGACAGCCAGTGAGTAGGTCTGGAGTAGGTCTGGACCCTTCTTCACCACCGTGGCACTGCACAGCACGTGCGCGCGCCTCCCGCTGTGTGGGCGATTTGGCCACTTGGGCCATGGCGCTCGAGCGAGGAGATGGTGGAAAGACTATACCAGAGCCTCCCTGTTTGGGGTGGTGAATGGAGGCCCCTGGATACCTCTATGAGACATCCCAAACAGAGGGCCCGGGTATAGAGAGTAGCTGGTCCAGGGAAAATCTCTGGGCGTCGGTGTTTGATGTGCGGTGGCTTCTCTGAAAAGGATCTCTGTGATCTGGAACATCGTGGAAGAGGGCTGAAAGGTGTTGCTCCTTTGTCCTGGACTCAGAAGCGAAGGTTTCAAGGGACCTCGTTGGGTTCCATGCCTGGCACTTGGCTCACAAACATTGCCATGACCAAAAAAAAGATGGATCATATAGGAGCCGTCTTGCAGCATGGTTACACCCCGTAGCTCTGGAACCATCGGAGCGATGTGTTCAGAAATCGGCCCCAGCTCAGCTCGATCGGCAGGGTTCTTTGCCCCTGAAAAGCTGCGGGTCGAACGCGCTCTGCGGGACGCGCTGGAAGATCGGAAGGCGTTTCCCGAGCGGGCGGTGGTCGAGAGGAGACCTTTGGAAGGAAGAGGGGTTCAATCGTGACATCTGGGAAGAACGGCCTTCCAAGCTAACCCAAACACTCTGAATCGTGGGACGATATCAAACTCTGTAGTTCCTTGAACTCCAATCGATCAAGAGTAGATACTTCAAAAGTCCAGCACATGCTGAAACTTCTGAGAACTTCACTCAATGTCCTGCTGATGACACCGAGATCTACAATTCATTACCAGGACCCAGAAGGGGTGGTTAATCGACACCCCTTAGCCTCTAAGGGGCTATTCATAGACACCCCTTAGGGGGCTTTGGTATACTTTGTGTTTGTCATCTATCTGATCTGCATCAAGAGTGCCTCTATCCTGCCCATTTCTGATGGAGTGTTCGGAGCCCTCCAATCTACCATCAAAGCACCTTCTTGTCCATTGGACTTAGTGGTCCTAGTAGATCAGCTTTTCCTCTATTCCAAAAAGAGCTTCTACTTGCAATCTCTGCGAATTCAGAGCAGCCCCTTTACCCAGAGACATCTCCAACCCCTAAGTCGTCTTCTTCAAACCTCCAACACCTACAAACATCAACTCGCCAAACAAAAAACAAAAACAAACACGGTCCATTCTCCCTCATCCCCGTCCATCCTCCCGTGTCCAAACAGGCGACGGGGGGAGGTTCCGTGGGACCTGAGAGTTGGTGAGAAGATTGCCCGAGTTGGTCAGCGAGAGCGAGCCGCTCGTGAGGCCCAAGTCGCCCTGGGGCGTTGAAAGCGCATTGAGCGACGCGTGTCAACGGAGGAGAAGAGGGGGCTTGAGGCGAAAAGAAAAGGCGACAGGATGAGGGTGTTCGTCCCTCAAAACCGAACGCTGAGGGACAGCCTTGTGCAGGGTTCAGGCGTTAAGATCATGACTTTGAGAAATCTATAAACTAAAAGTTCCTAGAACACCCAAGAAACAACGTTCCTATAGAACACCTGCGTGCCTAAAAAAAGACCTGTCATCCTATCATCAACTCTGCCGAGAAGAGAAGGAGAAGCTTCGTCCGCCAACTCCACCAGCCATGCGCCACAACGCCACGGCGCGGCACAGGCTGTGCGCCGATGCCCCGTTGTGGCCCCGCACGGGATTGCCCAAGGCATCCAAGCCCACCGGCATCTGCGCCGACGACGCCACGGCACGAGCTACGGAGGGTTCTGAAGGTCGGTAGGTTGCACACCGCATGTAGAAAATGAACGGAAGAGTCGAGTCTAGTGGGGAGAGGTTTTTCCCGTACAAATGGTGTACTCTTGTGTACTTGCATTTGACCCATGCGTGTGTACATGGGATAGCCGGATCTAATGCACCGCAAATGCATCCTTTTTTCAGATCATTGAAAAGTTTCTTATCTCCTCAGACACATGCAGCATGCGAAGAGAAGCTTCTTCTACCAACCAGGTCTTTCCCTTCCACCAACCGAATGCTTTAAAAGAAGCCAATGGAAAATGCTGGGAACTAGTTTCGCCATCCCCCGGTTGCGGGAGACTTTGACAGTAGACTCCTCAAACCCAGTGGTCTTAGTGGCTTGATCGTTTCACGCCTAAAACCCCTGCGCAACCCGCACACCGTCTGAGCATCCCGAACATCGTTCGAAGTGCCTTGACCTCGGTGCGGTGCGTGCACTTCATGGAGGATCGTCCTGCTGGGAATAGATCCCAACTTCCGGCAAGTACCATTTTTATCAACAGCATCAGACCCGATCCTCAACTATCAAGCAGTGAGGAAAATAACTGCTGACGACCAGAAACCCTCAAGAGTCGCGTGATGTTCACATGTCCACTCACTCAGCCTCGAGTTATGCCAGAAAGTTTATGTTTTATTTAAGTCCACTTTCCATTTCCTTCTTTTTTCCCTCCCCCTCTCGCCCCACCGAGAACGGTGGACACAGAACGCAAACGCGAACGCATCGCACCGCGCGAAAACCCGAGAGCGCGGACACATCGAGCGATCGGTGGAGCCCTTCACGAGCTTCACCTCGGCGAACGATTCACCGGAGCGGACCGAGCGGATCGCACCGGACGCGAGCGACGCACCGGTGGAGGCCATCGTGATTTGTTCGGTTGGGAGGGCCATGACTAGGAAGGAACAAGAAGCTAGTAGGTTACTAGGTGGAGGACTCTCCTGAAAGTGGCCGTTCTTTTTTGGAATTGGCTGCTGGAGGATGGGGCTGCTGGATTTTTGTCGCACCTGGTTTCGGTACAAACACTTTGTACCATCTACTCAAAACAAACACTCGATCCAAAGCATGCACTAGAAGGAAACTCGTTTTCCATGAGGCAAGGAATGGTGAAAATGCCGAAAGGTTCTTGGAACGCCAAACTCCAAACCCCTTGAAGCCTTTGACCGAAGAACTTTGCTTCCCGCTGCATCTTCCCTAGTTCCTTCAGTCCACCATTCACTCGCTTGACTCACAGGGCTCTTCTGGACGGCTGGTTGGAAGGTATCAAAGACAACTGCTTCTTCGATCTACTACTCCGCCGTGTGTTTTGCCTCACTGTACTACCATGTGCCTTCCCACAGGATGGATTTGGAAGATGCTGCTGCCTTCTCCCGCTGCTTGCGACATCTTAGTCTTATGGAAGGAGGTCATACTCTACTCTACCCCGCCCGGAAGGGTACGCGCGAACGCTCAAGTGTGAACGCCCAGCCACCGCCGGCGCAGTGTGTGCCGCCCCATACCTGGCACATCACAGCGGTTTAGAGTTTTTGAGTGTGGGGCCTTTGCAAGACTGTCCATTCCTGCCCAGTCCGGCAGAGCGGTTGTGATCGGGGCCAGCGAGCTCGGCGCGTTGCTTAACGCGGGTCCCGGCTGAAACGGTGGAGAAAAAGCGGATCCGAACGAAACGATTCAACCCTGGGACCGGATCCGAACCATGTGTTTCTTCGGTCCAAAACTTTGGGTTGTGAGGGTCAAGTGGGTTACCCGACAGCCCTGGTGACCCGACAGCTGCACGGCTTTGGGAAAGAAGTCAAAAGAGCGCCAGCAGCACGGGGTATTCGGATCGTTCGTGCTGATCTCCATCTTATCGTAGACCAAGGAGGCGACCACCTGCCGAGAAAGAGCATGGCGGGGGGGGTTTGGAGAGAGCCGCGGATGGCCCGGCCTTAAGGGATGGGCCGTCAACGGTTCCCCTTAACGAGACGGAAGAAAGGAGTGAAAAGGCTGGAAGGGGATGGAAGGGATGGCTGAAATTGTTACACCCACGGGTGCGCACGTGTGCTTCAAGGGTGGTCCATGGACGTTCACCGCGGACGTGCTTCGTGGATCACTCAGGTGAGCCGCCCAGACCAAGTCTACACAGGTCCTCAGTAGCTTGCGGTAACAGACCACTGGAAGCTCACGACCTTGACTGTGACTGCGGTGACGGTCTAAGAACGAGTTGACCTACCTCGATTAGATGGATTAGATGGATTAATTCCCACCAGACATGTGTAATTACAACG